ACCTTTACCAAGCAGCGCCGGGCACTAAGTTAAGACTGGCTATTTGTAGGCGCTGGACTTGACTGCTTCCCTCCAGCTTCCTTTTGGGATCAGCATGCCCCGGAGATCCTGGAACTGGAGGTGGTGTAGGGTCCTGCCTGTTTTGCAGAGTGAGATGGCTGCCAAGCGTAGTTCTCCCTTTGGGTCAGGCTTGGCACCCATTTTTCCAGTGTGCTCAAGGTTGGCATGGCTTCCAGGCAGGTATTTTTTTTTTTTTTTCACATAAAAATAGCTCAGCTGGAAGGAGGCTGGGGATGTTCTCTGAACCAGGATCTCAGAGTCTCAGTGCTTTCCCAGTGGGAACTGGGAGCAAAGTTATAGTTTCTAAAATGCTGGTGCAGTTCTATTGCTTCTCGGCAGTCCCCGTGCCGTTTCAAGGACTGAGAAAGTCTTTGTAGAGTTTGTTGTCGAAATCCGGAATTCCTGTCTTCTGACAGTCTTCCATTTAGGGCCAGGAAGCTGAGTTCTGAAAGTAAAGAGAGTACTGTGTACAGCAGAGGGGATTGTAGCGATTTAAATTGCTGTTTGTGGAGTTCTTCCCTATTCCTCGATTAGTGCTATCTTCACAACAACCCTTTTATCAGATTCCCTCTTAAGGGCAATGCTATCAGGACCACCTGCCTTTTTACAGATTGAGAAAGCTGAGACTAAGAGAGGTTGATTCTCTTGCCCAAAGCTGCTCAGCCATAAAATGACAAAACTGTAACTGGAAGCCCAATTCCTAGCTCCTAGATCTGCATCTCTTGTATACCAAGAAGCCTTTTTTTCCTGGGGAGGAGGCAAGGGCACTTGAAGAAGGGGTTGCCACTGACTGATGGCGGCCACCTGTAACTTCTGCTGCTTTCTATCATAGGCTCCCAGTTGCTTACATCCGGGCTGCCCAACTTCCTTGGTCTGAGCTCCCAGGGGGCAAGCCACGCCTGGCTGACCGGAGCCTGGGGTGGGAGGAATGGGGTGTGCAGGAGGGGAGAGGAATCTGCCTCTGCACTGGGGCCCCGTCAGCTGTCTGGATGGCGGCTCAGTACACTGCCCGTCAGCTGTTTTCCTTAGTTAGGGTGGACACAAAGCCCAGGCCTCTTGTTTTTATTTTTCTTCTGAGCATGTGCCTGTGGTCCCTAACACAGGGGAGAGTTTATGGTGTGTCCAGTAGCAAGGCCAGAGGGGGCATCACCTCCTCTGTGACTTTGTTTTTTGGTCTAAAAAAAAAATTGGGGAACTCTCTCCTCCCCAGTGACAGACTCGCCGTGTGCTGTTTAATAAGTTACAAATTTATGGCTCTCTGAGCAGAAAAATATCAACACAGCGTGTTCCGCCCTTCCCTGTGTGTTCTCTCCACTTTGTGCTTTGGGGTGGCTGCTTGGTGGCTTTTCTTATTACTGTTTAGATGCTGGTTTGGCCCAGAGTTCTCTCTGTTCAAGTTCTGGCCGGAGTTTCCTGGACAGAGTTCCCACAACACAGATGCACTCTGACTGTGTTTTCTAACCTGATTGCTCGCTCTGTCTCTGTTCATGTTCTTAGTGTACTTGGTAGAGGGGCTTTGACCACAACCGTGGTCTAATCACGATCACGTGCACTTCATGGGAGAAAGGCCCTGGACTCAACATTTTACAAGCTGTATCACAACCTTTCGGAGAGGGAGGTGTTTTTACCTCCGCTTTATAGATGTGGAAATCTGAGCTCCAGGAAGTTTAGTGGTGGTGCTGGGATTTGAACCCAGACTCATCCAATTCCAGATCTGCTCATTTTAATCATCATTAGGTGGTAGGTGCTGGTGACTAACCAGGGGGATGAGCCTTGGGGCCTGCTGAGTAATTGATAGTTACCTTTCAAATCTCTGCCCTAGGGGCCATTCCCAGAAAATGGCAAAGGGTGTGTCCAGTGCAAGACTTCTTAGCTTTGCCTTCCCATCCTTTAGCAAAGGGAACAGCCAGCTGTTGGCAGTGCCCAGTTGCTGCTGGAATCTGGACATGTCTTCTTTCAGCTTCTCAGCAGTCTTGACCCTTTGGAAAACAGTGCCTCATTGTCCTTGGGGGTAGCGGTAGGGGGGCAGAGGAGTTGCCTGGGGCATTCGGAGCTATGGAGCCTCCCTGTTTCCATGGAAAGTCTGGACTTTGGGCTTGCCTATCTGTGGTCCCTCTGTGTGTCAGGGCAGAGTCAGGGCACCCAGCTGCTGGGCTGGTGGCAGAGGCGGCATTTACCCTTGCAGCGATGGTGCCTTCCTGGTGGGCTCTGCGTCAGTGCCAGGCCGCCTCCTGGGCTGTGTGCTAGTAAGGGGCAGAGCTGGGATTCAAACCCTGGTGTGTTTGATTCTTCAGCAGGTGCCCTTTCTGATATGTGAAGCTGTTTGCTGCCTGGGCAGTCATAGGTTGATGGCTCAGGCTGCTGGAAGCCAGGGCCCTGTCACTATGGGTTCAAGGTCTTTTGAGGGAATATCTCAGTATTCCTTTTTTCCCTAGTGATGGTTATGCCTTGGAGAGGCTGGGTGTACCCTTGGCTGGAGAGGCTGATGGAAGGCCAGAGTTACTGGGGGGCTGCTGAGAAGCCCTCCTCTCCTATTTAGTCATTGTGCATGGAGTATCTGACTCTGAAGCTTTTCTTGGGTTTTTACCTTGCTCCAAGACCAGAGTTGTCGAATTAACTTCCAGCCTCATTGCAGCCTTTCCCTGGGTTGTGTAAGTCTCAGAGCCTTCATTAATAATAAGAAAATCTGCCAGGCGTGGTGGCTCATGCCTGTAATCCCAGAACTTTAGGAGGCCAAAGCAAGTGGATCACCTGAGATCAGGAGTTCAAGACCAGCCTGGCCAACGTGGTGAAATCCCATCTCTACTAAAAATACAAAAATTAGCTGGGCATGGTGGCGCATGCCTGAAATCCCAGCTATTCCGGAGACTGAGACAGGAGAATTGCTTGAGCCCAGGAGGCAGAGGTTGCAGTGAGCTGAGATCACACCACTGCACTCCGGCCTGGGTGACAGAGTGAGACTCTGTCTCAATAAATAAATAAATAAATAAATAAATTCAAACAAAATATGTAGAATGCTTTTCTTTCCTTTTCTTTCTTTCTTTCTTTCTTTTTTTTTAGATAGAGTCTTGCTCTGTCACTCAGGCTGGAGTGCAGTGGCATGATCTTGGCTCACTACAACCTCAGCTTCCCAGGTTCAAGTGATTCTCCTGCCTCAGTCTCCCAAGTACGGCAAATTACTGAGCGTGCCTCCATGCTGAGTTAATAATTTTTGTATTTTTCGTAGAGACGGGGTTTTACCACTGTAGCCAGGCTGGTGTTGAACTCCTGACATCAGGTGATCCACCCGCCTTGGCCTCTCAAATGATTGGGATTACAGGCGTGAGCCACCATGCCTGGCCACATTTCCTTTCTTTTGGTGAGACGAGTCTCTGTTGCCCAGGCTGGAGTGAAGTGGCACGAACTTGGCTCACTGCACCCTCTGCCTTCTGGGGTAAAGGGATTTTCACCTAATTTTTGTATTTTTAGTAGAGACGGAGTTTCACCATGTTGTCCAGGCTGGTCTTAAACTCATGAACTCAAGTGATCTGCCTGCCTTGGCCTCCCAAAGTGCTAGGATTACAGGCGTGAGCCACTGTGCCTGGCCCACACTTTTCTTTTTTACAGTGTTTACAGGAATTTTTCCCATAATATTTATGAAGAACTTATTCTGTGTAGGCACTGTGCTGGGCACCTTACATGCGTTGTTTGTTTGAATCATGCTGGCCATATAAGGCAGGTGTTTTTTTTTTTTTTTTTTTTTTTTTTTTTTTAACTGTTTTGCATACTTTTTTTTTTTTGAGACCGGGTCTGCAGCCTCAGCCTCCCAGACCCATGTGATCCTCTCCCTTCAGCCTCCCAAGTAGCTGGGACTGCAGGCACATGCCACGATACCCCGCTAATTATAAAAATTTTCTGTGGAGACAGGGTTTCACCATGTTGCCCAGGCTGTTCTCGAACACCTGGCCTCAAGCAATCTGCCCGCATCCACCTCCCAAAGTGCTGGGATTATAGGCGTGAGCCATTGCACCTGGTGCATTCTTTACACTTCTGTTCATAATACTGCATCTGATATTGGCTCCCCATTGGTTTGATTGTTTTCTGCTTCCAGGACACTAACATTTTTCTGCCCCGGCCCCATTCCCTGTTGTCTTCCACGTCTGTCCTTTCCCTGTTCTCTGCAGCTTCTTCTCTTTCTTTTGATTTGTTTTGTTTTGTTTTAATTTTTGAGGAGTTTCACTCTTATTGCCCAGGCTGGCATGCAGTGGCATGATCGATCTCAGCTCACCACAACCTCCACCTCCTGTGTTCAAATGATTCTCCTGCCTCAGCCTCCCAAGTAGCTGCGATTACAGCCGTGTGCCACTACGCCTGGCAAATTTTGTATTTTTAGTAGAGACAGGGTTTCTCCATGTTGGTCAGGCTTGTCTCAAACTCCTGACCTCAGGTGATCCACCCACCTCAGCCTCCCAAAGTGCTGGAATTACAGGGGTGAGCCACTATGCCCAGCCCTTTTGTACTTTCTTGGGGGCATATACTCAGGATGAGATGCAGGGTCCTGGGGGCAGTGTCTGTTGTTCCAGGAAAGGCCCCACTCCTCCCTCCCTGGCCACCTCTCCAGTCACCTGTTACTCTTGAGACAGAGCAGTGAGCTTACAGCACCACTGCCAAGGAGAACATGGGGCGGGTCCCCCATGGTTCCTTCCCACCTCCTCTGCTTAGGAATCAGAACTTCCTGTACCCCAGCCCCACTCCACCCAAACTTGCTCCTTGTCTTTCCCATATCCAGATAACATATTGTTATTGTTAGGTGCATGCTAAAGTATTTAGGAGTGAAGTGTCATAATGTCTTGCAATTTATTTTTTTATTTTTTATATTTGAGACAGAGTGTTACTCTGTCACCCAGGCTGGAGTGCAGTAGCCCGATCTTGGCTCACTGCAACCTCCGAATCCTGAGGGAGTTGTTGAAAACTTTATGGTGGAGAATGAATGATGTCTGTTGGAGGGGGAGAGGAAGAGAAAGAATCAGGAAGCTGAGTTTCCTCAGAAACGTTGGCAAAGCAAGTCATTGAAACTGGTTCAGGGTGCTCTCCTCACCTGGGATGGGCCCCGAGCCTCCATTTACGGCCTCACGTAATGGCTTTTTGCAGTCTGGGTCTTATTGGGAGTCTCACATTTGGCCTTGTGTGTACATTAACATCCTGATAAGTCTTCCAACTAACTAGCCGATTGCCTAACCAGCGGGGCTCAGGGCTGGCCTCTCCAGGGAGGCCTTGGATGTTGGGCCAGTGGTAGACAGAACTTGCGGTTGGCCAGGCCCAGTGGAGCCCCAGTGGCCAAATCTTCCCTTAAAGACGGCCTTTTAATGCTTATTTCTTATGTGATTGTGGTATTGTGGTTTTATGGGAGAATATTGTTATTGTTAGGTGCATGCTAAAGTATTTAGGAGTGAAGTGTCATAATGTCTTGCAATTTATTTTTTTATTTTTTATATTTGAGACAGAGTGTTACTCTGTCACCCAGGCTAGAGTGCAGCAGCCCGATCTTGGCTCACTGCAACCTCCGAATCCTGAGTTTAAGCAATTCTCCTGCCTCAGCCTCCCAAGCAGCTGGGACTACAGGTGCATGCTACCATGCCTGGCTAATTTTTGTATTTTTAGTAGAGACAGGGTTTCACCATATTGGTCAGGCTGGTCTTGAACTCCTGACCTCAGGTGATCCACCCGCCTCAGCCTCCCAAAGTGCTGGGATTACAGGCATGAGCCACCACGCCTGGTCTCAACTTAGTTTTAAATGATATAATGAAAAAAAGGATTCACACATAGAGGGCAGAGAGCACAAGGACCATGCATTTACACAAAGTGGCAAAACGATGACAGCCACTCAGTCTAAGTGAGAGTACACAGGTCTCTCAACTTCTCTGTATGTTTAGACATTTTTGTAACGAAAAGTTGGAGAAAAGTCAGGAAACCCCACTTTCCCATGGTGGGCTTGGAGTTGTTGGGCCAAGGTGCTGGCCTGCGCCTGCCTGTGGTTGCCTGGAATGACTGTTGGTCTCCTGTGATTGCACAGGTGGTGGGAAGACTGGGTGAGCAGAGGCAGGAGCTGGGAGGGCCTCAGGTGACAGTGACCACCGACTGTCAGCTGGGCTGTGGGGAGCACAGTGCTGTGACCTGAGCAGAAAAGAGACAGGCCTGGCCGGGTGTGGTGGCTCATGCCTGTAATCTAAGCACTTTGGAGGCCAAGGCAGGCAGATCACCTGAGGTCGAGAGTTCAAGACCAGCCTGACCAACATGGTGAAACCCGTCTTTAAATAAAAAAAAAAGAAAAAGAAAAGAGACAGGCCTAGAGACAGTGCATATCCATAGGTGTAGAGGCAGCCTCATGAGTTATTGGGCATAATGACATTAATCAGACCAGGGTTGAAGCGAGTGAGATGCTGAACTTTGGTTGGAGTTTGAGATGGGTTGTCCAGGCTGGTGGGATGCACAGCAAGGCTTTTTTTTTTTTGAGACGGAGTCTCCCTCTGTCGCCCAGGCTGGAGTGCAATGGCATGATCTTGGCTCACTGTAACCTCTGCTTCCCAGGTTCAAGCAATTCTTGTGCCTCAGCCTCCCCAATAGCTAGGTTTACAGGAGTGCGTTATCATGCCCAGCTAATTTTTGTATTTGTAGTAGAGATGGGGTTTCACCATGTTGGCTAGGCTGGTCTCAAACTCCTGACCTCAGGTGATCCTCCCGCCTTGGCCTCCCAAAGTGCTGGGATTACAGGTGTTAGCCACTGCCCCCAGCCAGAGCAAGGCTTTACACACTTCAGGGAACGGTCTCTGGGCAGCTCGAGGCCTGTGGGAGAGGAGGAGATGACTTTTGCTTCACATCATGAACCCCTTATCTGTGGCCACAGTAGCACCATCAGTCTGCGGGCAGTGATGGCTGAGTGGCCCCGGGCTCTTGCTTCTAGCTAAAGTCTGACCATCCAGTTTTCCAGCCTTCAGGCTCCCTCTCCTGGAATCCCCACTCCCTTGGTCCTTCCTGTCTAGTTTGTGCTGACTCAAAGCTGGCCCTCTTGGGCCTCCAGTCTGTTTTGGGGAAATAGCTGGATTCTGGCACCAGTGGCCCTCTTGGCTCTGAGGCAGAGGTGAGGGCCCTGGTGCCTACTAGAAACATTTCGGGCAGCCAGCAGGCTCTCATGAGGGGAGGGCTTCATGCCAAGGTCTTCTTTCAGCCTCATGTCATCTGTGTCAGCATGCAAAGATGCCGAGGCTGGCCACTTGGCGAGGACCATGAAGTCTTCCAGAGAGGGCTCAGAGCTTCACTCTGCCTATTTGAAAGCAGCATGATGTGTGTTTTATGGGGGAGGGGGTGGTGCTGGAAGGAAGCTTTATGTAATTCTTGGCTGGAGCTCAGGTAATTGTTTTAATGAAATGGAATGCAGCTTATTCAGAATTCACTTGGCAGAAACAGCCATGTTCTGTTCTGTTTTCTTGTTGGGGAGATCAGGGCACACATTTCCAGCTGTTTTGAATCTTAGAACCCTGGGTGAGCTGGAGCAAGGTGGGTGGAACCCTCCAGGGAGCTCCAACGAGCTTCAGGCTGATTCTTCTCCGGGTCCTGGTCTGTGTGTATCATTTTGAATGAGCCACGGAGACTTCGGCTTCTTCCAACAACATAAAAGCCCTATTGAGGCCAGGCACGGTGGCTCACCCCTGTAATCCCAGCACTTTGGGAGGCCGAGGTGGGCGGATCACCTGAGGTTGGGAGTTTAAGACCAGCCTGACCAACATGGAGAAACCCCGTCTCTACTAAAAATACAAAATTAGCCGGGCATGGTGGCGCATTCCTGTAATCCCAGCTGCTGTGGAGGCTGAGGCAGGAAAATTGCTTGAACCCGGGAGGCGGAGGTTGCAATGAGTCGAGATCGTGCCATTGTACTCCAGCCTAGGCAACAAGAGCAAAACCCAGTCTCAAAAAAAAAAAAAAAAAAAGAAAAAAAGAAAATCTATTGAAAGCAGGCTATGAAATGGGCACAATGCCTGCCTTCCAGGTTGTCGGGAGACTGAGTGAGGTGCTTAGCATACAGTAGACAGACCCTCAAGGATGGTCTCTCTTTGCTTACACTTATTTCACCCCCACATCCCCGTCTTTCCACCCTTCTTTTTTGTTTTTGGGACAAGTCTTGCTCTGTCACCAGACGCCAGACTGGAGTGCAGTGGTGTGATCTTGGCCCACTGCAGCCTCTGCCTCCCAGGTTCAAGCAATTCTCCTGCCTCAGCCTCCCAAGTAGCTGTGACTATAGGTGCCCACCACCACGCCCAGCTAATTTTTGTATTTCAGTAGAGATGGGGTTTCACCATGTTGGCCAGGATGGTCTTGATCTCCTGACCTCGTGATCCACCCGTCTCAGCCTCCCAAAGTGCTGGGATTACAGGCATGAGCCACCACGCCCAGTCTTCCACCCCCTTCTATACCTCATGCCCACTGTCTTCTATCAGTGTAGATGGCTGTGGCCCCATGTGGCCTCAAGGTCCCCATCTGCAGGTCCACCTGGACCTCGTTTTTCTTCTGGTTCCCTTTTTCTCTCTTCTTCTCTTCTTTCTCTTTTCTCACAAGGTCTTGTTCTCTTGCCCAGGCTGAAGTACAGTGAGTGATCTGATCATGGCTCACTGTAACCTGCAACTCAAACGATCCTCCTGCCTCAACCTCCTGAGCAGCTGGGACTACAGGCACATGCCACCACACCTGGCTACTTTTTTGTTTTTTGTAGAGCCAGAGTCTCATTATGTTGCTCAGGCTGGTCTGGAACTCCTGGCCTCAAGCAATCCTTCCGCCTTGGCTTTCCAAAGTGATGGTATTATAGGCATGAGCCACCATGCGTCTCACCTGGTTCCCTCTTTTTACTTTTCTGCTCTTACTAACTTCAGTTTTTTGTTTTCTTTTTAGACAGAGTCTTGCTCTGCCGCCCAGACTGGAGTGTAGTGGCACGATCTTGGCTCACTGCAACCTCCGCCTTCTGGGCTCAAGCCATCCTCCTGCCTTAGCCCCGCCAAGTATCTGGGATTACAGGCACACGCCACCAAGCCTGGCTAATTTTGTATTTTTGGTACAGATGGGATTTTGCCATGTTGCCCAGGGTAGTCTTGAACCCCCAACCTTAGGTGATCCACCTGCCTTGGCCTCCCAAAGTGTTGCTAGGATTACAGATGTGAGCCACTGGGCCTGGCCTGCTCTTACTAACTTTTTTACTTTGGTCCTTTTTAAATTTTCACTCAGCCTGACCCATTCTTCCACATTTGCTCTTTTGCTGAGACACCTATCTCACTATTTAGCTGTCATATTTTTCTTCCCTTCCTTAAGCTCTGCTCGCTTCTCCAGAGACCCTCCCACCTTCTTTTCCCAAGTCTTCTCTGATCCTTGAGTGGAGGTGCACCTAGGTGTTTTCACAAAGGATTTCTCTGAACTCCTTGTTTTTCTCCTATGCACCTCGGTCAGTTCATCAACTGCATGACCTCTTTTATAACCTGTGTGCTGGCGACTCCCAAATTTATATTTCCACCCCTGACGTGCATTCTATTGTCTAGATTCTTCCGGTTTGTGCGCCAGCAAAGATTCAACTCATTTCCTTTCCACTTTCCCATCCAGGCCTCATCTACTGCCTGGTCTCTCTTAGCTCCCCTCTCTTCTCTGGGCCTGTGTTAGATAATGGGCATTTGTGCAGCACTTGAAGCTTGAGGAAACATTTTCATGTGCTTCTTAATTTTTTTTAAAAAACTAAACCTTATGTATATTCAAGGTTTGCAACATGATGTTATGGGATACTTGTAGATAGTAAGGTGGTTACTAAAGTGAAGCAGATTAACCTACCAGTCATCCCACAGTTACCTTCCTGTGTGCCAAGAGCAGCTAGATCTACTTACGTAATGAAAATCCCAAATACTGTTTTCTTAACTTTAGCCCTCATGTCATACATTAGATTTCTAAGTGTGTGTCTCCCATGTATCTGCTACTTCGTATTCTTTGACCCACATCTCCCCTTTCCCTCTTCCACCCGTAGTAACCACTGTTCCATTCCCTATCTCTGTATTTGACCTTTCTCTCTCTCTCTCTCTCTCTCTCTCTCTCACCCAAAGTTATATATATGTGTAACTTTGGGTGGCCAAGGCAGGTGGGTCACCTGAGGTCAGGAGTTCGAGACCAGCCTGGCCAACCAGGCATGGTGGTGCGTGCCTGTAGTCCCAGCCACTCGGGAGGCTGAGGCAGGAAAATTGCTTGAACCCAGGAGGTGGCGGCTGCAATGAACTGAGATCACGCCATTGCACTGCAGCCTGAGTGTTGGAGTAAGACTCCATCTCAAACATAAATAAAATAACAAGTAAATAAATATATGTATATAGTACCTATAAGTGAGATCACACAGTGTTTTTCTCATTGTGTCTGGCTCATCTTACTGAGCATGTCTTTCCATGCTGTGGCAAATTGGCAGCATCTCCCTTTTTAAGGCTGAATAATCCATCGTATCTATATACCACATTTTCTTTATCTATTCGTCCATTGACCACCATCATTTTTTATATGGTTCTGACAGCCACCCTTTGAAGTAGGTAGTAATTATCTTCATATTATCAGTGAGGAAGCTGAACTGAAGTGCAGAGGAGTTAGGGGAAGGGAACACACCCAGTGTTACCACAGGCAATGATGCAAGAAGCTGAACCTTGGGTTTTCCCACACCCAACCCAGTCTCTATCTGCTTTTTCTCTTTTTGTTGTTTTTTGAGATGGAGTCTTGCTCTGTCACTCAGGCTAGAGTGCAGCTGTGTGATCTCGGCTTACTGCAGCCTCCGCCTCCCAGGTTCAAGTGATTTTCCTGCTTCAGCCTCCTGAGTAGGTGGGACTCTGGGTGCATGCCATCACGCTTGGCTACTTTTTGTATTTTTAGTAAAGATGGGGTTTCACCATGTTGGCCAGGCTGGTCTTGAACTCCTGACCTCAGATGATCCACCTGCCTTGGGTTCCCAAACAACTGGGATTACAGGCGTGAGCCACCGTGCCGGGTCTTCTTTCTGTTTTTATTTTTAATAAAGATGGGGATTCACCATGATGGCCAGGCTGGTCTTGAACTCCTGACCTCAGGTGATGCACCCACCTCAGCCTCCCAAAGTGCTAGGATTACAGGCGTGAGCCACCGCGCCTGGCCTCTTTCTGTTTTTTTATATGGGAAACCTCAAGGCAGAAATCAGAAATCTACGGGTCAGATTTGGCTTGCAGACCCTTGTTGCTTAGTCTTCATGGTATTTAAAATATTCCAAATTAGTTGCCAACAATTACGGGTCAGGAGATTGAACCAAAAAATTCTTTTCTTTTTTTTTTTTTGAGACGAGTCTCACTGTGTTGCCCAGGCTGGAGTGCAGTGGCACAATCTCAGCTCACTGCAACCTCCGCCTCCCGGGTTCAAGTGATTCTTCTGCCTCAGACTCCCAAGTAGCTGGGACCACAGGCACCCACTACCACACCCAGCTAATTTTTGTATTTTTAGTAGAGACAGGGTTTCACTACATGTTCTTTCTTTTGAAAAGTCAGATCAGGCTTCATGGGATCCACGTACTCTGTGTCACCACTTGGTTAACCTCAATAGCTCCAGCCTCATATTTGACCCTCTCTGTTGCCTACATTGGGACTCACTTCCTTCATACATATTCCTACCTGGCCCCTGCTTTGAGTGGTTCTAATTATGCTCTGTGCTGGATATTTCTAACAAATGCAGTTGCCAAATCTAAGGGTTATCTTGTACTTCAGTCTCTGAATTACATTTGACTTCTGACCATGCCAACCACTCAGCTCTGCCTTGAGTCTAGATCTTGGTTCAAGTCGCAGAAAATAGCCTTCTTCTGACTCACCTTACCCTCTGCATTTATTTATTTATTTGTTGAGGCAGAGTCTTGCTCTGTCACCCAGGCTGGAGTATAGTGGCGCCACCTTGGCTCACTGAAACCTCCACCTCTCAGGTTCAAGCAATTCTCTGCCTCAGCCTCCCGAGTAGCTAGGATTACAGGTGTCCGCCACCACACCCTGCTAATTTTTTTGTATTTTTAGTAGGGACAGGGTTTCACCATCTTGGCCAGGCTGATCTTGAACCCCTGACCTCGTGATCCACCCGCCTCAGCCTCCCAAAGTGTTGGGATTACAGGTGTGAGCCACTGCACCTGGCCACCCTCTGCCTTTAAAATCTTAGCTGAATTTACCTTTTTGAGAAGGCTTTTTTTCAGATAAAACTAACCAGCTTGTTGACTCTCCTACTAAAGTTAATCTTTACAGATCTGTGTAAATTGGGCTTGCTTTTGTCTCCTGCTCTGCCCTGGAAGCTCCTTGAAGACAGGGATTTTATCTGCCTTTCAGATATCTCTTACCACCAAGCATTGCTCTGTTCTCTCTGTGGTTGCTTAGTAAATACTTGATGGTGGTTGATGATGAAATGGGCATGAACTGCAGATACCCACAATGATGCTGAACCTGCAGCAAACCACTTCCTCCTCTGGAGAACCTGAGTGAGAGATTCCGCGTTCAGGGTGGGGAGGTGGCATAGAACCAAGGCTCTGACATCAGCCACCCTTGGGTCTGTATCCATGCTGCCGCTGACTACTGTGTGTCCTTGGCAGGTCACTTTACACTCTGAGCCTTGGTTTCCTAACCTAAGAAACAGGTACATTTCCTGACATACTTTCCTGAAATACTTTCAAAGTGCTCAGTAAATGGTGGCGATTATCATTCATTCTTGGAATAATCTTGACAACTCCCGGGGTGGAGGGTTTGGCTTTTGGTATCACTCTCTTGGCATTTATTTGTTTGTTTATTTTAATGTATTTTTTTTTTTTTTTGAGATGGAGTCTGGCTCTATTGCCAAGGCTAGAGTGCAGTGGCACGATCTTGGCTCTCTGTAGTCTCCGCCTCCCGAGTTCAAGCCATTCTCCTGCCTCAGCCTCCGGAGTAGCTGGGATTACAGGCATCTGCCACCACGCCCGGCTAATTTTTGTATTTTTAGTAGAGATAGGGTTTCACTATGTTGGCCAGGCTGGTCCCAAGCTCCTGACCTCAAATGATCTGCCCGCCTCAGCTTCCCAAAGTGCTGGGATTATAGGCGTGAGCCACCATGCCCAGCTTGTTTGTTTATGTATTTATTGAGACAGAGTCTGGCTTTGTTGCCCAGGCTGGAGTGCAGTGGCCGTGATCTCAGCTCACTGCAGCCTCCGCCTCCCATGTTCAAGCAATTCTCTTGCCTCAGCCTCCTGAGTATCTGGGATTACAGGCATGCACCACCATGCTAGCTACTGTTTTTTAAGTTTTGGTAGAGACGGGGTTTCACCATGTTGGCCAGGCTGTTCTCAAACTCCTGGTCTCAAGTGATCTACCCGTCTTGGCCTCCCAAAGTGCTGGTATTACAGGCGTGAGCTGCTGCACCAGGCTTTATTTATTTTTTAATTAATTGATTGTTTTTGAGACAGAGTCTCCCTCTGTCACCCAGGCTGGAATGCAGTGGCATGATCTCGGCTTACTACAACTTCCACCTCCCAGGTTCAAACAATTCTCCTGCCTCAGCCTCCCAAGTAGTTGGTATTACAGACGCCTGCCACCATGCCCAGCTAATTTTTTGTATTTTTAGTAGAGATGGGATTTTGCCATGTTGGCCAAGCTGGTCTTGAACTCCTGGCCTCAAGTGATCTGCCCACTTTGGCCTTCCAAAGTGCTGGGATTATAGGCATGAGCCACTGCGCCTGGCCCACTCTTCCTATTTAAACTTCTACTTCATCTGTAGGTTGGCTGTGTTTTCCACGGCCCTGGAGGTTGGCATTTAGTGCAGTTGGCCCTGCTTGGTTGCTTAGCTTGGCCTGGGGGAAGCATCTGACTTTGGTTATTTTCTGGGAGAATGTGATTTAGGACTCTCCATGGTGCCATGGGTTAGAGAATGCTTGGGACTATGCTGTGGAGGTAAAATGGCCACACCTCTGGGCCAGTGGTGTTAAGCTGGGTTTTGGTTATATGACTTTTAATGTCCCCTGAGCCTCTTTGGTGGCTTTCATGAGGAAGTGGTGGGGGAGGAGGTGGCTTGGTGGCTTGGTTTATACTAATCACTCATCTAACACCAATGTTGGTGAGAGCTGCCACAGAGAGCTGCTCTGGGATCCGCTTCCATATCAGCCCTGAGCTGCTTCTAGCACTCTAGGCATCTGGAAAGCCTCATGGGGTGGTCTGGCCATGGAGCCTCCTAGTAGCAGTAGAAAAAAGGGGGAGTTGGTTTTCTGGACTGTGAACTTGGTGGTTGTGTACTGAGTGGACACAGCCGTTTCATGAAGCTGGCCCAGTGACTGTACCTTTTAGGGACGGTTGATCTGTGGGACCCACCCTGGGCTCTGTTGAAGGTTTGAAGTGGGTCAGAGAGTCCTGGCCGAGCTTTCCCCCGTCTCTGTTTCCAGGAACATTCCTTTTCCTTAGGTGGAAATGGGAGTGTCCGATGGCCTGCACTTGGTTTCCTCTGGATTTGCCATTTCCCCTGTGGACTCCTGGCTCAGCTGGCTGGCTAAGGCAGTCTCTCATCATGGATGTGCTCTGGGACAGCCCAGTGGGGCTGGCTCCTCTGGGGTGGGTGCAGAGGAGTGGTCATGATGCCTGAACACTGCACTCATTCCTCAGAGACCGGACTTGGCAGCCCTCCTGAGCCTGCCTGGTCACATGCTGCCCGCCTTGGATGCTCCTCTGTCCCTAGCAGTGGATGTGCAGTTTCTCCACCCCTCCTTAGCATGGCCAGCCTCAATGTGTCTTTGAGGCGAGGTGGCTGTTGGGATAGCTGGGTGGTCTCCTTTCTTCCCTGCCTCGCCACCTCAGATGGCCTCTTCTGCTGTGTCCTGAACTTTCCAAGAATTCCTCCCCCTTTTCTCTCTTTGGAAGTTGGCACTTGAAGTCTTTTTGCCTGATCTTTGGAGGCAGCCAAGCCGGAAACAAGCTGGGGAAGAAGAGCGTCACCTGGAGGCGGTTGTCATGGCTTCCTGTGGTCGCTTGTGGTCATCTGCTTCTAAACATCCTGTTTGTGCCCCTAGAGCAGCAGGAACAGTGACCAGGAGACAGCTGTTATCTGCCTGAGTTTGGCCAGAGCATGGGGGCTGGGGTGTTTCTATTGCGGGGACCCTTGATTGGCTGATCTCTGGCAATTGGGGGCATTGCTGGTAGCGGCTCCTTTGGGTGTCACTGGCTTGGGCTTTATTCTGGCTGTGTCCTTCCTCTTCTCCCTGCTTTGACTGTCTGCGAGAATTTCCCTCTTAACGGTCTGCTGGGTGTTATCAGTCTGCACTCCCTCTCTGTGCTTCTGGACTGATCCATTCTTTCTCACCCTCCTCCTGTGCTTCCAGAGCTGGAAGGAGCCTTAGGATGTCATTTTCTCCTATGGTTTGGAGTCTGTGGCCATCACCTTCTTCAGTCAGAACTGCTCCCTTTTCTCTGTTTATATATTGGGTTTCCATCTAATACCACAATTGCAAATGGTGTTTTGTGGACTTTTTAAAATGTGAAAATAAATATGTAAAAACATTTGAAGCAGGGTACAGTGGCTCATGCCTATAATCCCAGCACTTTGGGAGGCTGATGCAGGAGGATCGCTTAAGCCCAGGAATTTGAGGCCAGCCTGGGCAACATTGTGATTCCATTTCTACAAAAATTAAAAAATTGGCTGGACGTGGTGGCTCATGCCTGTAATCCCGGCACTTTGGAAGGCCGAGGTGGGCAGATCACCTGAGGTCAGGAGTTCGAAACTAGCTTGGCCAACATGGTGAAACCCCGTCTCTACAAAAACACAAAAATGAGCTGGGTGTGGCAAGCGCCTGAAATCCCAGTTACCTGGCAGCTGAGGCAGGAGAATTGCTTGAACTTGGGAGGTAGAGGTTGGGTGGGCAGAGATTGTGCCACTCTACTCTGGCTTGGGTGACAGAGCAAGATTCTGTCTCAAATAAATAAATATATAAAATAGATAAAATAAAATATAAACAAATTAGCTGGGCATGGTAGCACACACCTGTAGTCTCAGCTACTTGGGAGGCTGGGGCAGGAGGATCTCTTGAGGCCGGGAAGTTTTGCTACTTCGCTCCAGCCTGGGCAACAGAGCAAGACATTGTCTCTAAAAAAAACACCAAAACACATGTTTAAAAATTGCTTATCAAGTTCAACCCCCTCATTTTCCTAGGAGAAAGCACTTGTACAGAAACGTAGCAGAGTAAGCCTTTTCCTCATTCTAGCCCTCTTTTGGGAAATGTGGAGTCCTGGTTTTCCTCATTTCTAGAACATGCCTGCCATGGTGTGGCCTCAAACCTTCATTTTTGCCTAGGGATCTTTCTCATGTCATTTTGTATCTCATATTGTTATTTGCTTTTATGAAAGCTTTTTTTTTTTAACTTTTTTTTTTCTTTTAAAGTCAAAAAAGCCAGTTTTTTTCTTTAATTTGTAAAGCTGTGCCACAAACTTCTAGCGGGTGCCGATGGTCACCTGCCACACTCGCACCAGGCTGTCTGTGTAGCCAGCAAACAGAGGCTGGCCATCAGCAGACCAGGCCAGGGAGGTGCACTGGGGTGGTTCTGCCTTGCTGCTGGTGCTGATAACTTCCTGCTTCAGTTCGTCTACAATGATCTTCCCCTCTAAATCCCAAATCTTGATGCTGGGGCCTGTGGCAGCACAGCGCCAGTAGCGGTTAGGGCTGAAGCATAGGGCGTTGATGATGTCCCCACCATCTAGGGTGTAAAGGTGCTTGCCTTCGTTGAGATCCCATAACATGGCCTGGCCATCCTTGCCTCCAAAAGCACAGAGGGATCCATCTGGAGAGACAGTCACTGTGTTCAGATAGCCTGTGTGGCCAATGTGGTTGGTCTTCAGCTTGCAGTTAGCCAGGTTCCATACCTTGACCAGCTTATCCCAGCCGCAGGAGACAATGTTAGGGTTGCTGATGTTGGGCGAGAAGCGGACACAAGACACCCACTCTGAGTGGCTCTCATCCTGGACAGTGTATTTGCACACACCCAGGGTATTCCATAGCTTGATGGTTTTTTTTTTTTTTTTTTTTTTTGAGACGGAGTTTCACTCTTGTTACCCAGGCTGGAGTGCAATGGCGCGATCTCGGCTCACTGCAACCTCCGCCTCCTGGGTTCAGGCAATTCTCCTGCCTCAGCCTCCTGAGTAGCTGGGATTACAGGCACGCGCCACCATGCCCAGCTGATTTTTTGTATTTTTAGTAGAGACGGGGTTTCACCATGTTGACCAGGATGGTCTCGATCTCTTGACCTCAGGTGATCCACCCGCCTCAGCCTCCCAAAGTGCTGGGATTACAGGCTTGAGCCACCGCACCTGGCCCAGCTTGATGGTTTTATCTCGAGATCCATCGAGACAATCTGCCGGTTGTCAGAGGAGAAGGCCACACTCAACACATCCTTGGTATGGCCCACAAATCGCCTCGTGGTGGTGCCCGTTGTGAGATCCCAGAGGCTCAGGGTTCCATCCCAGGAGCCTGAGAGGGCAAACTGGCCATCTGAGGAGATAACCACATCACTAACAAAGTGGGCGTGACCTCGAAGAGCACGCTGTGGAATTCCATAGTTGGTCTCATCCCTGGTCAGTTTCCACATGATGATGGTCTTGTCTCGAGAGGCGGATAGGATCATGTCCGGGAACTGAGGAGTAGTAGCGATCTGTGTTACCCAGCCGTTATGGCCCTTGAGAGTGCCACGAAGGGTCATCTGCTCAGTCATGGCGGCGGAGAGCGCGTGTGCTGCTGCACCGATGAGGATGGCACTGGATGGCTGAGAAACCAGCACCACTAACTTTTTTTGAGACAGTGTCTTGCTCTGTCACCCAGGCTGGAGTGCAGTGGTACGATCTCAGCTCACTGCAGCCTTTACTTCCCAGGCTCAAGTGATTCTCCCACCTCAGCTGGGACCACAGATGTGCACCACCACACCTAGATAGTTTTTGTATCATTTGTAGAGACGCAGTCTTGCTATGTTGCCTAGGCTGGTCTTAAACGCCTGGGCTCAGGCTTTCCTCCCACCTCGGCTTCCCAAAGTGCTAGGATTACAGGCATGAGCCACCACACCTAACCCACAAAACCATTTTGTTCATTTATTTTTTATTTTTTTGAGACAGAGTCTCGCTCTGTTGCCCAGGCTGGAGTGCAGTGGCGTGATCTCTGCTCATTGCAACCTCCGTCTCCCAGGTTCAAGTGATTCTCTTGCCTTAGCCTCCCAAGTAGCTGAGACTACAGGCATGCACCACCAATCCCAGCTAATTTTTGTGTTTTTAGTAGAGATGGGGTTTTACCAGGCGGGCCAGGATGGTCTTGATTTCTTGACCTCATGATCCACTGGCCTCGGCCTCCCCAAGTGCTAGGATTACAGGCGTGAGCCACTGCCCCCAACCTATTTATTTATTTTTTTGAGATGTGGAGTCTCACTCCCGTCGTACAAACTGGAATGCAGTGGCAGGATCTCTGGTCACTGCAGCCTCCACCTCCCAAGTTCAAGCGATTCTCCTTCCCCAGCCTCCCGAGTAGTTGGGATTACAGGCGTGTGCCACTGTGCCTGGCTAATTTTTGTATTTTCAGTAGAGACGGGTTTTTGCCATGATGTGGCCAGGCTGGTCTTAAACTCCTGACCTCAGGTGATCCACCTGCCCCAGCCTCTCAAAGGGCTCGGATTACAGGTGTGAGCCACTGTGCCCAGCCCACAAAACCATTTTAAATGTCAGTTCAGTGGCATTGAGTAGTTTCACAATGTTGTGCAACTATTATCTCTCTCTAGTTCTAAAACATTTCATCACTCCCCATTATCACTTCCTTCTTAGTACTCTTCTTTCCGTCTTGATGAAAGTAGGATCATATAATATGGAATCATATAATATGTGACCTTTTGTGACTGGCTTCTTTCACTTAGCATAATGTTTTTGAGGTTCATCCAATTTGTAACACATATTAATACTTCATTTTTATGGCTGTATAATGTCCCGTTATTTCTGTATGCCATGTTTTGTTTATCCATTCATCTGTTGATGGGTGTTTTGGTTGTTTCCAACTTTTGGCTATTGTGAGGAGTGCTGCTGTGAACCTTTGTGTACAGGTATTTATTTGAATACTGTTTTCAGTTCTTTTGGGCTTAACTACACTTGATCTTAGCCAAAAGGCCAAGAAATAATTGGGTTTAAATATCTTCACAGTTTTTAAAATTTATTTTTGTGTTTTGTTATAAATGTCTATTAAATGGGCTAACTATATTTGTGTTTCTTTTAATATTTTGCTGGTTTTTAGAAGTTGATTATCAGTGTTACACGTGTTCATTGTAGAAAATTTGAAAACTGGCCTGGGCAGGCCGGGCGCGGTGTCTCATGCCTGTGATCCCAGCACTTGGAGAGGCCGAGGTGAGTGGATCACTTGAGGTTGGGAGTTTGAGACCAGCCTGATCAACATGAAGAAACTCGTCTCTACTAAAAATACAAAATTAGCTGGGAGTGGTGGCGTATGCCTGTAATCCCAGTTACTCGGAGGCTGAGGGAGGAGAGTCGCTTAAACCAAGGAGACAGAGGCTGCAGGGAGCTGAGATCGTGCCATTGCACTCCAGCCTGGGCAACTAGAGCGAAACTTGGTCTCAAAAAAAAAAAAGAAAGAAAGAAAGAAAACTAGCCTAGGCAACATAGTGAGACCTCGTCTTTATAAAAAAGCAAAAAAAATTAGCAGAGTGTGATGGCATGCACCTGTGTGGTACCTCAGGAGGCTGAGGTGGGAGGATTGCCTGAGTTGAGGAGGTCGAGGCTGCAGTGAGCCATGATTGCACCACTGCACTCCAGCCTATGCAACAGAGCGAGACCTTGTCTAAAACAAAACAAAAAACAGAAATTGAAAACTACAGAGATACCCAAGGGAGAAAATAATGAAAGCTCATAGACAGAATCATCTAGAGATGACCGCAATTAATATCTTAATGTATTTCTGTAAAATCTTTTTGGTACATACATGTTTACATAATTGGAATCGTAACTGCCAGCATTTTTTTTTTTTTTTTTTTTTAGACGGAGTTTCGCTCTTGTTACCCAGGCTGGAGTGCAATGGCGCGATCTCGGCTCACCGCAACCTCCGCCTCCTGGGTTCAGGCAATTCTCCTGCCTCAGCCTCCTGAGTAGCTGGGATTACAGGCACGCGCCACCATGCCCAGCTAATGTTTTGTATTTTTAGTAGAGATGGGGTTTCACCACGTTGACCAGGATGGTCTCGATCTCTTGACCTCGTGATCCACCTGCCTTGGCCTCCCAAAGTGCTGGGATTACAGGCTTGAGCCACCGCGCCCGGCTTTTTTTGAGACAGAGTCTCAGGTCTGTTGCCCAGGTTGGAGTACAGTGGTGCGATCTTGGCTTACTGCAACCTCTGCCTCCCAGGTTCAAGCGATTCTCCTGTCTCAGCCTCCAGAATAGCTGGGATTACAGGTGCCTGCCAACACACCTGGCTAATTTTTATATTTTTAGTAGAGACAGGGTTTCACCATGTTGGCCAGGCTGGTCTTGAACTCCTGACCTCAGGTGATCCTCCTGCCTCAGCCTCCCAAAGTTCCGGGATTATAGAAGTGAGCCACTGTGCCTCACCATCCATTATTAATATAGTGTTATTCACTCTGTGGCAGGTACTGTGCTAAATACCTCCTTTACCTTCCCTTATCATTTCCTCACAGCAGCCCTCTGAAGTAGGTATTCTAGGTAAGGACACCAAAGCACAGAGAGGTAAGCGACTTGCCCCAGGTGAGTTGCTGGTAAGTGGCAGAGCTGGGATTGGATCCAGTGACCGTCCCATACAACCCTTGCTCTCATTGTAGACTCCGTTCTGATTCCTGCTTGCCAGTGAAGGTGATGCCACGTGATGCCACTGGGGAGGAAGGAAGAGAAGGGGACAGTCTGGGGTGTGTATGTGTGTGTGTGTGTGTGTGTGTGTGTGAGAAAGAGAGAGAGAGAGAAAGTCATCTGTGGATCATATATGCTGTGCTTGGGGGTGCAGTAGTTGAGGAAACAATCAACCAGGTGTATGCCGAGGGCAGTGGGGACTGTTGAACACTGACCCCTACCCAGGGTTAGCAGGGACTGAAAATGACCCCAGGAGAAGGGAGAAGTGTGGCGTGAGCTGGTGTGCTTTGCTCTAGGGAAGGTCTGTGGGCTGTGCAGAGAGGAGGGAGCATTTCCTGCTCTGTGGCCATCCTCCAGCCCCCTCTTCTTCCACGTGAGCAAAGGCCTGGGGTTCCCCAGACCAGCATCTGTCAGCCTGCTGCCCTCCCTCTCTTCACTTCTCTTGGGTTATTTGCTTTTCTCTTCCCCTGCCTTCCTTTGGAAGAGGTTTTTCTCAATTACTGAGCTTTCTCAACTCGACATTCAAAATCTCGTTTCCAGCTAGGATTGTGGATTTGTCGCTTTTTTTTTTTCTTTTTCCAGTTTTGTCCATTTTTGCTTTATCTACTTTAGAGCTGTTTCGTTGAATGGGCTTACATTTAGGATGATTAAGTCTTCATGATGAGTTGACTCTTATCTTTATGAAATGTCCCTCTTTACGTCTGGTTATATTCCTGTCTGGAAGTCTGCCTTGTCTGGTATTAACAGAAGTACTTCAACTTTCTTCCTTTCTTTTTTTCTTTCTTTCTTTTTTTTTTGAGATGGAGTTTCTCTCTTGTTGCCCAGGCTGGAGTACAATGGTGGAATCTCGGCTCACTGCAACCTCTGCCTCCTGGGTTCAAGCGATTCTCCTGCCTCAGCCTCCTGAGTAGCTGGGATTACAGGCGTGCACCATACCCGGCTAATTTTGTATTTTTAGTAGAGATGGGGTTTCTCCATATTGGTCAGGCTGGTCTCCAACTCCTGCCCTCGTGATCCACCTGCCTCAGCCTCCCAAAGTGCTGAGATTACAGGCATGAGCCACCACACCTGGCTGTTTCTTTTTTTCTTTTTCCTTTTTTTTTTGAGATAGAGTTTCGCTCTTGTTGCCCAGGCTGGAGTGCAAAAGCACAATCTTAGCTTACCACGGCCTCTACGTTCCAGGTTCAAGTGATTCTCCTGCCTCAGCCTCCCTAGTAGCTGGGATTACAGGCACCTACCATCATGCCCAGCTAATTTTTTGTATTTTTAGTAGAGATGGGGTTTCACTATGTTGACCAGGCTGGTCTCAAACTCCTGACCTCAGGTGATCCACCCACCTGAGCCTCCCAAAGTGCTGGGATTACAGGCGTAAGCCACCGCACCCAGCTTCTTTTTTTCTTTAAACAACTGCTATTCTGTTTAATAAAATAGTTGCTTGAAACATCTGCAGTGGTGACTTTAACCTTGAATCTCAGCTCAGCACAGATGGACGTAATCTGCTTAGCAATCTCGGGAGGACTGTCCGGGTCAGTGAGTCACTTGCGGATTCTCATCTGGAAATGATCCCTTGTTCTAGAACTACTTCACCATGAGGCATTTTTTTATAGTGATTCTTAGAGTCTTGGTAGGCATCCGAAATGATCCTACACTTTGAGATTCTTTTCCTTTGTGCTTTTGATCAAGCCAGCACACACCTTCTCCAGGGATTTTGACGTTGTGGCAGGTTAGGTTAATTCTGATTTGAATAATCGCCCCCTCTAGTTCCATGGATGGCTTTGAAAGCCATAGCTATGGTGTGGCTTCCCAGGTGACTTGTTCTGGGGTGAGAGCAAACAGCGGTAAGTCGGGAGCAGGCAAGGGCACACCAGAGCTCTGTGGCAGCTGCCAGCTGACTTCCTCAAAGGGCCACTCTGCCTTCCTTGATATTAGTGTTTGCATGGTGTGTCTTTCCCCATTGCTTTACTCTGAATCTATCTGTGTCTTTATATGTAAAGTGTGTTTCTTGTAGACAGCGTGTATTAAATACTGCATTTCCACCCAGTCTGACAAACTCTGCCTTTTAATTGGAGTATATAAGCCTTTTAAATTTTAAAGTAATTATCAATGTGGTTAGATTGAAGTCTATCATCTTGCCATTCGTTTTCCATTTGTGCCGTCTGTTCTTTATTTTTTCTTCTTTTCTAGCCTTTTTATTTTAATTTTTTTTTAGAGACAGGGTCTTCCTGTTACCCGGGCTGAAGTGCAGTGGTGCAGTCATGGCTCACTACAGCCTCTTGAGTAGCTAGGATTACAGGCATGTGCTAACATGCCCGGCTAAATTTTCCTTTTTTTTTTTTTTTGAGAAGGTTTCTTTTTCTGTCGCCCAGGCTGGAATGCAGTGGTGGGATCTTCACTCACTGCAACCTCTGCCTCCCAGGTTCAAGTGATTCTCATGCCTCAGCTTCCAGAGGAATTGGGATTATAGGCATGCACTACCATGCCCGGGTAATTTTTGTATTTTTAGTAGAGATGGGGTTTTACCACGTTGGCCAGGCTGGACTCAAACTCCTGACCTGAAGTGATCTGCCCCCCTCAGCCTCCCCAAGTGCTGGGATTATGAGCGTGAGCCACTGTGCCCAGCCTAATTTTTTATTTTTATTTTTTTGAGACAGAGTTTCGCTCTTGTAGCCCAGGCTGGAGTGCAGTGGTGCGATCTGAGCTCGCTACAACCTCCACCTCCAGGTTTCAAGCGATTCTCCTGCTTCAGCCTCCTGAAGTAGCTGGGATTACAGGCACCTGCCACCATGCCCAGATAATTTTTTTATATTTTTAGTTGAGATGGGGTTTCACCATGTTGGCCAGGCTGGTCTTGAACTACTGACCTCAGGTGATCCACCCACTTTGGCCTCCCAAAGTGCTGGGATTATCGGCATGAGCCACTGCATCTGGCTTATTTTTATTTTTGTAGAGATGGAATCTCACTGTGTTGCCCCGGCTGGTCTCTAACTCCTGGCCTCAAGCAGTCCTCCTGCCTTGGCCTCCCAATGTGCTGGGATTACAGATGTGAGCCACTGGGTCTGGCCTCTTTCCTTCTTTTAGATTCATTTAGTATTTTTTAGGACTCTGTTTTATTTCCACTCTGTGCTTATTTAGCTATACTTCATTGGTTTGATTATTTTAGGGGTCACTCTATGGTTTGCAGATTTAAATTAATCACAATCTTCCTTCACATCCTACCATGCCATTTCAGGTATAATGTAAGAACAGTATATTTCCATTTCCCCCTCCCATCTTGTGTGTTGTTGTCAGAATTTTATTTCTACACATATTATGAAACCTGTACTATGTTGTCCACCTTTTACATTTATCCACAAATTTACTATAATATTTCTAGCATTCTTTTTTTGAAAGGATCTTTTTTTTTTTTTTTTTTTTTTTGAGACGGAGTTTCGCTCTCGTTACCCAGGCTGGAGTGCAATGGCACGATCTCGGCTCACCGCAACCTCCGCCTCCTGGGTTCAGGCAATTCCCCTGCCTCAGCCTCCTGAGTAGCTGGGATTACAGGCACGCACCACCATGCCCAGCTAATTTTTTGTATTTTTAGTAGAGACGGGGTTTCACCATGTTGACCAGGATGGTCTCGATCTCTTGACCTCGTGATCCACCCGCCTCGGCCTCCCAAAGTGCTGGGATTACAGGCTTGAGCCACCGCGCCCGGCCCTTGAAAGGATCTTTTAAAGTCTAAAGAAGTTAACAAAAATGTCAGGAAAACGTCGTTTCTTTTTTTTTTTCTTCCCCTCCTTTTCCATTTCTCCTCTGAGAACGTGTTGTTTTCTTCCTCCCTGGCTAGTTTCCCTGCCTGTGAACTCCCTCAGCCTCACTAATTTGTGCGTGCTTTGTGGCTCATCCCATCTGTGGTTCAGTCGTGATAATCAACGATGCTGTCAGTCTCTCTGGGCTCCACAGCCCCACGCTTGGTGTTGCTGACACATCCCGGTGGTGCACGTTTGAGAAAATCTGCACATTCCAGCTCACGTCCCCTGCCTTCTCTGCTCCATGGGGAGAGGTGTGACCAGATCTGCAGGACTTGGGACTGCCACACTCCTGTTCCTTCTTGCTCTGTTGTTAGGTGATGCCCCTCCTCCTCTTTCCCCAGCACCAAGCCAGAGTCACCCAGTCCCAGGCCCCGACTCTCTCCCAGTTGCCTCATTCCTATGCACCAAGCCCACCTAATGGAGCTCCCCTTCCCCACCCACAAAGGAAGACAGATAGGCCACCCAGTGAGTTTAAGTTGCCACAAGGGGCTGTGCTCCAGCCACAAAGTCTTGCGGACTATTCCTTTGATTTTGATTTTGATTTTTTTATTTTAGGGTAGGAGTTTTGCTGGTTGGGATGGGGTGGTGGCAACTAGATCACAGTAGATGGGACACTCTAGGATGGAGTCGAGAGGACTTGGGCCATGTGCTCCTGCATTACTCTCCCTCACTGGGTTTTGCATGTAGTGAGCTCTTAGGGAGGACTGGCAGGTGGCATGAGCTGAAGTGGCGAGGCTGATCTCAGCAACAGACTGGCTTGGCGCGGGTCATTTATTGATTTGTTTGGTATCATCCAGGGAGCCCCCATTATGTGCTAGGCTCTGCTCAATGCTCAGGTGAAGATGAATGTAGGCATACTCCCTACCCACACTGTGCTGTTCCTAGGCTGTGAGACATGGCCCCTTAGACAGACAGTTCCTACCAGCCTGATAAGTGTTCTCATAGGAGAAGTGCACAGTGCTTTGGGAACTCAAAGGAATGGAGCCTCAAACCCTTTGTAGGGTAATAAGGTCAAGGAGGGCTTCCTGGAGGAAATAGTACCCTAAACTGACTCTTTTGTGTGTGTGTTTTAAGAGATAGGTTTTCTCCGTTGCCCAGGCTGGAGTGCAGTGGCGCCATCGTAGCTCACCTGCAGCTTCAAACACCTGGGCCCAATCGATCTTCCAGCCTCAGCTTCCTGAGTAACTGGAATTACAGCTGTGTGCTACAGCACCTGGCTAATTTTTAAATTTTTTTTTGTAGAGACAGGGTCTTGCTGTGTTGCCCAGTCTGGTCTCAAATTCCTGGCTTCAAGCAATCGTCCTGCCTTGGCCTCCCAAAATGCTTGGATTGCAGGAATGAGCCACTGTGCCCAGCCCTTTGTTGTATTTTTATTTTTTTTCTTTTTCTTTTTACCACGATCGCTTCCTATGTTGTATTTTTAAATAGAACCTCAACATTTAGAAAAGCCCCCAGACTCTGTCCTTTACTTAAATGGTCATTCTATAATAAGATTTTGGAAAGAGGCCTTCCCAGCATAAAAACAACATGTTGCTTTTTCTTTACGTAGGGCAGGATGGATCCTTTTTATCCTCTTGTTGAAGAAGATAAACTAAGGTATTATGAGTCTCAAGGGATTAGAAAGGATTTAGCCTGGTAAAGAAGGCAGGAGAGTGGTCTAGGGAGAGGGAATAGCTGTGCAGTGTGGAGGGAGACGTGTGTGTGTGTATAAGCAGGCGTGTTAAGTTCATGGGCAGTGATTGGGTGCCCTGCATCTAGTTGGATCTTTCAAGCTAATCAAAGTTATCCTGAGCCACAAGGCCAAGGCCAGTCATTAGGCTTTATATCCTCATTGGAATGACTTTTTGGGAGTAGCCTTGCTATGAAAGCTGAGATGGGGCTGGCCTTTGGGGCATATGTTATCCTACAGTGAGATGAGCTTTCTTTTTTTTTTTTTTTGAGCCGGAGTCTCACTCTGTCGCCCAGACTAGAGTGCAGTGGCATGATCTTGGTCGGCTCACTGCAACCTCTGCCTCCCAGGTTCAAGTGATTCTCCTGCCTCAACCTCCTGAGTAGCTGGGATTGCAGGCATGCACCACCACACCTGGCTAATTTTTGTATTTTTAGCACAGGCAGGGTTTCTCCATGTTGGCCAGGCTGGACTCGAACTTCTGACCTCAGGTGATCCACCTGCCTCAGCCTCCCAAACTGCTGGGATTACAGGCATGAGCCATCACACCTGGTCATGAGATGAGCTTTGTCTGTGCAGTCTCTCTGTGGTCAGCTGGGGCTGGGACCATGGGTCAGTTCTGAAGGGCATTTCCATTGAGGATTTGGGGCCAGAGATTGTGTCCTGGGCCTGAGATTGTGTCCTGGGCCCTCTGGCCCCAGTGGTGAGCCACATGCTTATGTGGCAGGAAGGATCTGGTTCCTCTGATAACTTGCTTAGCCTGACCCCTCTTCTTCCTGGAGGAGGGCTGTCAGAGATGGGGCTGGCTTTGTATTTGATTTTCAGAGGCAGATTCAGTGCAGATGGGAGCAGGCAGAGGAAGAGAGCCCATGGTCTTCCTGAGCACTCTGAGAATTCCCAGAGCAGGCTGCATGCAACTTCCTGAGGTTCTCCCAAGGCCAGACAGGGAGAACGACTTGTGTTCAGGAGAAGGGTACCATTATCATTTTCCAAACTGTTACTTATATAGGTCCCTTGGCCAAAGAAAGAAAGTACTTGGGCCCTGGCTCAGGGAACCCTGTGGCTCTGCCTGTCCTTGGTCTGACTCCTAACCTTGTTGCCGTCATCACCTGACCCCTGCCACAGACCTTCTTCCCTGTCCCATATGGCTGTTCCATCCCTCCTGCAGGAAACAAACATGGGAGGCATCCTGCACTCTTCCCTCTTTCTCCATATCCACTCAGTTTCCAGGTAATGCTGAGTTTACCTGGTTTCAGGTAGAGCATTGCAACTCTTGGTCTTCCTCCAGCTGAGCACTGCCTCCCTCCGATCTCCCCTGCCTGAGTGATCTAAAGCGCAAGCCCGGTCCTGCCGTTCCGCTGCCGACCGCCTTCCTTCCCTGGCTCGCCCTAGTAAGTCCAGACTCCCCAGTGGGCCCTGGGCCCTTGACTCCTCTTCCACCAAGCTGGGACTTG